CTTATGTTCTTAAAAATCAAGACCTGCACTTAGGGAAAGCATAATCCCACCAGATCTATGCCAGCTCTTTCACGATATATTTACAAAGAGGCTAATGACAGTTTAAAGACAAGAATGTTTTAATTGACATAAGCTTTTACAGGTTGCAGTTTTCTTAAATAAACACAAAACTCTTCACCAATTTTGCTACATCAGACTACGAAGGCTACCCTCCAGAAGTTCTTACATATAGTGCTTGTACATGACCCAATAAAAGGTTGCCTGGGCACAAATTGTAGCTGTTAGACAACATGCATCAGGCCCTTAAAAGTAAGACCGTAAACTCCACTGCCTTAAGAACTGAAGTGGTACCTGTTAATGTGATAGGAAACCAAGAGAATGGATGTTTTGTCCAATTTACTGACCTAGTTATTTATAAAATAGAATCATACACTTAACTAGATGGACATAAAACTATCTAGATGGATTTTTTTGCCATGAATTTCCTTTAAAGTGTTCTTCAAAACGAACTACCTCTTCATCATTTGGATCAACTGTGGTTTCATCATACACACGCTGGTTTTCAATTGTCTTTGGTACTGGCTTTGGTGGTGCCTGCAAAAAATAAAAAGGTTAATGCATTAAAGTACTTTTAATCAACATTTGCTACAAATTACTATGCTTGATAAGTCATTTCTCTAACAGTAAAATCAAACTATTGAACTCTCACCAAGAACATCTTATTCCAAATGCTTCAGATCAGTAGAGATCTACTACAGTACAATATGTCCAAGTTTACATGGAAACAAAATATTGGGATCCATTCAGACTTATAGTCTATCCACATGGCAAAAATAAAGCAGTTTGATATCAATTTAGTTGTTGTGGCTCCCTCTTAAGGAATCTTGGGTTCTACAGTTTGGTGAGGTATTCAGCCTGGTCTGTTAGAGCTCTGGTGCCTCACCAAACTACAAATCCCAGGATTCTGTAGGATAGTCATGACAATTAAAGTGTTGTCAAACTGCTTTGTTTCTGCTCTATGGATACACATGCTTAAAGTACACCCATTCTGAAATAAATGAGACTTCGATGGCAGTTAAATTGGGTCCCACTGATTCCAGTAAGTATAATTCCAGTGAGTATACTCTAAGCACAAATAAGTGTGGTTCCAGACCCTGCCTTCATAATTAAAATAATAATTTTATACATGTACTGAATTTTGAGAACTTCATCTAAGTAGACCTCATGGCACTATGTGAAGTTATCAGAATTCTTAATTATTACAATGTAGTAATTCTTCATATATTTTTTTCCTACAAATTCTGTAAGCAAAAAGTTGTGGATACTTTTTTTTAAAAGGTTGTCTCAACAGCAACTTAAGCTCATTAACAGTATTGAAACACCTTTAAAAAGCAAAGAAGAATAAACCACAATATTTATAGATTATATTTTTACTTCTTAAAAGTCCTTCACCTACAATTCAATACTGAAGTTTGACAACAGCACCTAGAATCCTCAGACAATACCAAAGGCGCTACTAGTGCTGAAGAATGCTGTAGAAGACCAAGCCAATGTGTCCTCTTTTACATTTTACCTAGACTCAGAGGACAACAAGCACCGCACCCATGCACTATTTAGCCCTTTCCTGATGGCAACAATAGATCAAGTCACTGTGGGAAAATACAAGCAGTAGACAGCTACTGCTATTGTTGCAATCTGCCAACAAATCTTGTTGTGGCCCTATGAATAAGATACCTCCAACAAGGGTCATCAACAGCCCTACTCACATCTTGTAAACTCAGAGCTGTGGCTTCTTTGAGTCAATCCATCTATAACGTGTTTTCCTGTTTTCCTACTGCCTTCCGCTTTATCCTATTTTTCAAAGTAAGCCATGTCATTTCATGATATATGAAAAGCATGACAGTGTCCATTTAATTGGTTAGGCTTAATTTTCTCTCAGACTCATTTATTTCTCTTTTTTGGCAGTCTGTCGTATCCTCACAACTCTTCTCCAGCTGCACATTGCAAACAAGTTGGGTCTGTTCCTGTCAGCTTTTTTCATGGCACAGCTTTCACAACCATATATAGAAATCAGAAAAGCTATGGCATGGATGATTCTAACTTTGGCATTCAATTATACACCTTTACACTTGAGGACTTTATCTAGTTCCTTCTCGGCTGCTCTTTCAAATCTTAAGTGTTCTTCTGATATCTTGACTCGTCTCTAGTTTAAATAATAACTGACACAAGATATACAAAACCGTACCAACTGCAGACTCCAGTGCTGTTTGCAAACACTGGTAAACTAATCCAATAGGTTGGGGAGGTGTAGGAGGCATTGCAGCAGGGACGAACTCAAGCTTGATGTCTTTCTTTGCGATTTATGGCGACGCCATGAATTTCATGGGATATTCTTAGGCAAGAAATACTCAGAGGAGTTTTTGCCAGTTCTTCTCTGAAATATAACCTACAGCATCTGGTTTTCATTTGCAGTCCCCCATCCAAGTACTAACTGGGGCAGACCCCACTTAGTTTCCAAGATCACACAGGATGTAGTGTCTCTGTATATGTAGGCCTTTCTGTACTCATTACTCATTACTAGCCTACCTTATAGTAGTGATACTCAAACTTTTCACCCTTGGGACCCCATCCCCCTTTACATCTGCATGCAGACACACACCCCATAATAAGTGGCACAGTGGTTAAATGCTGGTACTGCAGACATTCACTCACAGTTACAAGGTTGAGAGTTTGATACCAGCCAGGGGCTCAACTCAACTTAGCATCCTTCCAAGGTTGCTAAAATGAGTACCCAGCTTGTTGGGGGCAATTAGCTTACAGGTTGTAAACCACTTAGAAACTGCTTAGTTCAGTATGAAGTGGTATAGAAATGTAGCTGCTATTGCTATTTAGTGTGCGAATGTTCATTCATACATGTATATTCATATTAACATTTTATAAGGAAATAACATCATTCAAATTAGAACAGTTTTATTTATTTAAATTCAATATTTAACTCAACACATATGTGAATTTTACTCATAAAAATGTTTGGGAAGAGGTGGAGGAGGGATTAGAGACTCCTTGAGCAACACTTGCGCCACATCTGGGAGTCCCGTCCCACCACTTGAGAACCAATGCTACTGTTTATAGTCACATCTCCTTATTGCAGGATGAGTTTACCAGTAGTCACTTGAATAAGGTTATTTAATGAGTTTCATAATAGAGGTTAAATCTGGATTAAAACATTTCCAGATCAGACTCACTATACCACAATACTGTAGTATGTTATTAACATCAATACACCATTAATATACTACAATTTACATTTATATACTGTCACTGTAACATGATGTGTACTGAAAGAATTGTTGTTTGTACTAAAGCCATGCCTGTCTTTCCTATGAAAGACTGAACTATAACAAAAACCAGATGTGAAATTGTAAACCTAGTAATAATATTTTTATAATTGATTAATTCTCCTTTTACCTTATCTCCAAGCGCTTCTCGCTCCTTTTTCCTCTTTTTCTTAATGGCTAATTTTTCCTGGAGTAGGGAAGAAGAGAGGACAAAAACAAGTGATGGTTTAAGTAGCGGTACCAAATAAAAACAACAATAGACATGCCATTCTATGCATTAAAACATAAGCAATATATGCACGTAAAACCACAAATCACACAAATTGGAACAATCCATCCACACCAGGTTCCAGGTTTTAGAACAAACACTAAAAGGTAGAACAGTTTCTTAAACTGTATGCTGTTTCTAATGGTCAGTATGGCTTGACGGGATCTGAGTCGTATCTCCCCTATCCAACCCAACTGACAACTACCTCCCAGTCTTTCTTGGAAACCTCAACACCTCACCCCACCCAAAAAAGATAGGAATAATTCCCCTGTAAGGTTTAAGACCTCTCCCATCCCATGGTGTCTTTACTTGAGTCACATCTCCATTTCCACATACAACCATTGAAAAAGAGATTCCACCTAAACTTTAGGAAGAACTCCCTGACAGTAGGAGCTGTTCGAAAGTGGAACACATCCCTTGGAGTGTGGTGGTCTCCTTCTTTGGAAGTTTTTAAACAGAGGCTGGATGGCCATCTGTCAGGGGTGCTTTGATTGTGAGTTCCTGCATAGCAGGAGGTTGGGCTGGATGGCCCTTGAGGTCTCTTCCAATTCCATGATTCTATTATTATTCCTCTTTGCTACAGTTTGCTATAATGTTGAGTGTGCACACCTTGAAGTCACCTGTTGACTTATGGTGACTCCCATTAATTTTATAGGGTTTTCTTGGGCAAGGAATACTCAGAGGTGGTTTTGCCAGTTCTTTTCTATGAGATATAGCCTACAGCTCCTGGTATTCATCGGTGGCCTCTAACCAAATACTTACAATTGTTGACCCTGGTTAATTTTGGGTGCATTTAGGGTATTCTGCTTTCTGTATCTAAACAATCCCACATATCCAAACACAAAGCTACAGTTGTCTCTCCTATTCACATACCCTCCAAGATTTAACAGATGAAAATCAGGACATATGTGGCCAAGAAACTTTAGTGCTGTTTAGTCAAGAGGGCAAAAGCTATTAATGAGGAAGAACATACAGGCTAGGAAGGTTGCAGTAGTTTGCTTTTGCCTGGGTGGGAAGGGCAAGCTTCAACCCCTCATCTCCCCCCACCTTGAATTAATTGAGTCTAAACTACAATGGTCTCTCCATATTCACTGGGGTTTGGGATGAAGGACCCCACATGAATGTGGGGAAACTGTGAATGAAAAAAAAAAACAAAACACCACTATTCTTTTTATCTTAAGAGAACACCTCTCTTGGAAACTAAAGGTCCTCCAGGGCAACTTTATGGTCAACATCGGTCAGAGGTTGATCATAAAATCATGTTGGAGGACCTACACATGCCTAGAGAAGTGTTTTCTCTAGGAACATCTAGGTTCTCCAGCACAATCAAACCCACAAATAATCAAATTTGCAAAAGTCAAAGCCAAAAATGTTGAGGGCCAACTGTTGTTTGAGCCAGTGTGGTATAGTGGTTTGAGTGTTGGATTATGAATCTGAAACCAAGGTTTGAATCCCTGTGCTTGGCCTTGAAACCCCATTGGGTGACTTTGGGCAAATTGCATTCTCTCAGCCTCAATGGCAAACTCTGTTGAACAAGTATTGCCAAAAAAAACCCACATGAAGTTCTATAAAAATATGCATGTGTGTGTGTACACAGACACGTGCAAAAACTATAACAAAAACAGGAGGAGATGTTTTCAACAAGAGAAATCAATGGGAAAATTTAAACCAAGAGCCAGGGTGTTGTAGTGGTTTGAGTGTTAGACTATGACACTGGAGAGCAGGGTTTGATTCCTGCTCAACCATGGAAACCCACTGGGTGACTTTAGGTGAGCCACACTCTCTCAGCCTCAAAAGGAAGGCAATGGCAAAAAAAAAACCCCTCTGAACAAATCTTGCCAAGCAAAACCCATCAGAGGTTCGCCTTTGGGTCAACATAAGTCGGAAACGACTTCACTGTTGCATATTTGAATGTAAATTTTATACAGTTTGTAGATGGTTTTAAATGTTTAATGTGATTTTGCTTTGTTTTTTTTTTAAATGTTTTTATCCCTGAGCCGCCTGACGTCCGTCTAGGGTGAAAGGCGGCATTAAAATGAGACGAACTAAGGGGGGTTGCAGACTGCCAGAAATAGTGCAAATTGAGTCCACTTTTAGGGTTAGGGTTAGGGAATCATGGGAACTGTAATTTATTGTGGCACCAGAGCTCTCTGACAGAGAAGGCTCAATGTCTCAGAAAAAAACCAATTCCCATGATTCCCTAGCACTAACCCTAACCCTAAAAGTGGACTCAATATGCACTATTTCTGGCAGTCTGCAACCCCCCCTAAATAAATGAAATAAAGACTCCTTTAGCAATGCTCATTATAGGAATAGGAAAAACAGGAAAGGCTGCGGAGTTCCTTGAGGGCTGAAGAGCCACAGCGCGGCCTGCCTTTGCCTTTCCCTTCCGCACCTTCTTCTGCTGCTGTTTCCAGCGAAGGAACATAAAATGGCGCCGCTGCTTGTTCTTAATTTCGGAGACGCTGAAGGTCGGCGGAAACGCGGCCTGGCTCCGCTCCGAGGCTGCAGAGGCGCCTCCTTGGTCTTCGCCGGACCCCGCCGCCACGCTCGCTTCCCCTCCATCGCACGGCTTCACCTCCTGGCCTTTCCCTTTGCCAGCACTGCCCGCCATGCCGGCTTCTTCCCCTCTGACCCTTCACCCCTCTCTTTTTAGTTCCGGGTCATGCGCCACTTTCTTTCTTCTTCTACGGCGCCTGCGCAAAAGGTATATCCCTTCCGCGATCTGAATCGATAATTCCGAACGCTTGTTGCAATAGGCCAATCAGGAGTCACACTGTGCGCCTGCGTAGAGCAAGAGGGCGAAAGCAAGTTTACCTCATGGGAAGGGCAACTAGTAGGGAGGCTCAAATTTAAACGTTTTTATGTTAATCAACGTTTCTGGCTGGCTGTTTCGTCATAATTTTTTTTACATTTTTCTTATCTCATAATTATTTCAGTCAACTGACAAAATTAAAAGCTAGTCGAGGGCCTTGTGCGCATGCTCATAGCCTTCCTCCTGTGGGTATAAAAACAGTGTGCGCATGCGTAAGATGGCAAACCACAGAGAAAGGGCAGTTGGTAGTTTTGAGCAGCTATTCCTTCCAACCATTTGGGTTTTTTTTTTCTCGATTCTTGCTAGAGCAATTAATAAAGAAATCATCGCATCAATGAGATTATTAACCCACTGTAGAAATAATGCAGTGCTATAGGTCCATCCTGTGGGATCCTGGGATTTGTAGTTTTACAAGGTCTTTAGCCATCTCTACCAAAAGGCAGTGGTGTATTACAAAGCTACAAATCCCAGGATTCTGTAGGATGGAACTGGTGTGGAACTGCATGATTTCTACAGTGCAGATACACCTAGTCTATTCTCATAAACACACAAATAGGTAGATAAGACAACCTTGTGGCTTGAATAACAAGATTTTGTTAGGAAATCTATTCAGGGGTAGCTGTGTTGGCTATATAGTAAAGTACAATAACATCCAAAATCCACAAATGGTGATAACTTTTATTTGACCAACCCAGATGTATAATTGGTGGTTTTGGATATTGTAGCAACACATTAGCAATGCTGTTGTCTGTATTAGCCAGCAGGTTTTGTGACTCACAATTGTTTAATGTCATTATTCTTATTTGTACTGTTTGTATCTCAGTTCCTTTTCCCTATACTATATATATCCTGACTCTGCCAAAAACATAAGTATTTGTCAGCTGAAGAAATGGGCACAAAGTCCATGAAAAGTAAATTTGTGCATTTGGGTGCCGCTGATCATTGATCTGTACTACCTTTAGGAGGACTGCCACTTTGCTCATCCCAAAATGCAACAAAATCCACAAAATAGTGATACACTCATCCCTACACATTTGCGGCTTTGACTTTTGCAGATTTGATTATTCACGGATTTTATTAATATGTTCTCTCTAGGAATATCTAGGTCCTCCAGCACAACTCTATGGTCAACTTTAACCAAAAGTTGTAATGAAGGTCCTAGAGATTCCTAGAGAGGTATTTGATTTTCCACATTCACGGGGGTCCTGTGCCTTTAACCCCAGCGAATGTGGAGGGACGAGTGTACTTTTGTTGGGCCAACAAAAACAGCAGAAAATACACCAGGCATTTCTTTTTCCTTTTTAGTTGGCCCCATAAAAGTATCACTGTTTTGTGATTTTGCATTTTGTTGTGTTTTTCAGTATGCCAGCATGGCTATCCCTGAATATGTTTCTTTTGGTCACTACAGTGAGAGATAGTTAAGACCTGGAACACAATAAAATAACACAATGACTTGTCCCAGGGTGGCCAGATGTCCTCACCGCAAGGGAGGACAAGGACCACAAAATGGAGGACATTCAATAAAAAATGGAGGACAATCCAAAATAAAAGCTAAAAACACTCATATAAATATAAATTCATACTTCTTAGTCATGCACAGGATGGAGGACATTTTGAAATTCCTCCTAGGCAGAAGGTTGAAATGTAGGGAATGCCCTGGAAAAAGAGGACATCTGGCCACCCTGGCTTGTCCCCTTCTCGCAGTTAATGTTTTGTGTTTTGCACTGGCCGCTGAGGTCCGAAACACACTGCAGAAATAATCCAGTTTGAGACTGCTTGAACTGCCCTGGCTCAATGCTAGGGAATACTGGGAACTAGTTTTGTGAGACATTTAGCCTTCTCTGTGAGAGAGCTCTGGTGCCACAATATACTATAATTCCTAGGATTCCCTAGCACTGAGTCAGGACAGTTAAAGTGGTCTCAAAATGGATTATTTCTGCTGTGTGTTTTGGACCTGACTTATATGCAATTCTAACTCAAAGATGGACCATCTGTATAGGGTTACCATTCATCCCAAAAACCCAGGAAAGTCCTGGTTTTAAGCATTGTTAAAATGTCCTGGCCAGTTCAAGCTGCATGTCCCAGTTTTCAGTGAGAGGAGGCAGAGGCGCCAAAACCTGTGAGTCATGCAAAACTTTGCACCAATGGATGGGAACAAGGGGAGTGCTATGAACCGGGGACTCCTGAATATCTAAAGCCAGGTCTTCATTGACCCCTGGGGCTTCTGAGAGTTGGAGTCCAGCACCTTCTGCCAGTGCGGCATTGTGGTTTTGAGTGTGGCTGGGTTCAAATCCTTGCTCAGCCAAAGAAGGAAGAGGAAGGGAGGAAGAGGAGAACTACATCTTCCGGCAGCCCGCATCCTTCCCACTTCCAACAGTCAGCCAGGCTCCCCTCAGAGCCATGGCTCCTCGCACTCTGCCCCTTCCCAGTCTTGGGGCCTCACTGCTACCGCCGGCCATGAGTTCGGGTGAGTGAGGCATTTCCTCCTCTGCTGCTGGACAACGGCCAGGAGGGAGGGAAGGGGACCCCTTCAGCATGGAGGCCCCCAGCCAGTGTCCGGCCTCCTCTCAGCGGTGGGCCTGGGGGCCTTGCACCAGAACTGGGATCACCACAGCCCCCCTTCCTCTTTTGGGACAGTGAGTGGGCCTTCTTTGGGGAGAAGGAGGCACAACCCAGGGCTCTGGGCCCCGAGAGAGACCCACAGCTGCTCCTGTGGCAGCAGAGGCCAGGGAGGGCCACTCCCAGCCGCCCACGGCAGACCCCCATGATCCTGCCTGGGCCTGAGCCCCCTGCCCTCCCTGGGACCAAGCCAAGTGAGACCGAGGACTAAGGTAGCAGGTGCCCCAAGGGAGGCCCCACCTGCCTGTCTCGGGCATTTTTGGGGGGAGGAGGCCATGCCCTACTTTTTTTAGGGCATGCCCTACATTTCAACCTTCTGTCCAGGAAGAATGTCAAAATCTCCTCCATTTTGAGCATGACTGAGAAGCATGAATTAAAGTTTTTGGCTTTTAGTTGGTCGTGTACTCCATCTTTCTTGAACATCCTACATTTTGTCCCGGTTTTGTGGAAGAGAATTTTGGCAACCCTACATCCGTAGGGTGTTGGGAATGGGCTTAACTCCCCTAACACTGGCATAGGCCTCTTCCAATGGCTGACCTCAGTGATCCACCAGCAGAGGGAACTGGTCATTGCCCAACCAGTATGGACCTTATCCCACGGGGCCAAAAGCAGCAAGAATCCACT